CCCCACCTCCCGGCAACGGCAACCGTGTCCTGCCCCCCCCTCCAGGGCCGGACCCTCACCCGGGGGAGGCTGCCCTCCCTCCGGGGCTCTGCTGCCGCAGCATCCCCATCTCCGCACCCAAAAATATTCCCCGATCAGCCACGGTGCCCACGCCACCCCCCCGCCCCGCCGAGCCCCTTGGAGCCCCACAGCCATCCCTGCCCCCCCCAGGAAGGTGGCATCAGAGCTGTCCCCACAAATTCCCTGCTCCCCTCCCTTAGGGCCCGCAGCTTTGCCGGCTCAGCAAAGGGTTAATCTTTCCTGGATTTAAACCCAATCCTGCTGTGTCGGAGCTTAGAGCCCTCTCCTTAGCCTTGTTCTTTTGATTTTCATGGGGATGAGGGGCTGTAAAGGGCTGGGGGGGGGGGGATAAGGATGGGCCCCCAAATTCCTCAAACACTCAAAGGCCGGCTCCTGCGCTCCGAACCCCCGGGCAGCCCCCCTGAGTCCAAACCGTGCCCACGCCAGCCCCCGGGTGGGTATTTTATAGGGTGAGCTTGTCGGGCAGCTTTTCCCCTTGGCAGGGCTGCCTGGCAAAAGTGATGTTACAACCCAGGTATAATTATTTCTATTAAACCAATCGAGAAGAGGCGCAAATGTCAGGAATCAACCCAAACCTGCGGTTACTGAGGGTGTTTGCCCGGCGAGAGGCAGCGCTGCCCTAGAAAGGGGAGGTTAATAACCTGCCAGGGTTTGGTTTGGGTTTTAATATGCGGAAAAATAAGTTTATTTTGTTTTTCTGGACTTTGACTATAGGAGCATCAGCCTCCGTGGCGTGTGAATATTTCAGCTTTGCTAACTATAACGCATCAGGTGGAAAGCAACACACAACACACGTCTTCCTCCGGCCGCCGAGGCAAAAGATCCCCTCGGATTGCTTCTTTTTTTTTTTTCTTTTTCCCCAGGAAACATATCAACCCTCAAGTTATCCCGGGAAAAAAAAAAAAAAAAAATTCTTAAAAACCCCGCGGCTCCCGTGCGGGCTGCGCTGCAGCCCCGGTCCTGGCTGCGGGGGGCTCG